TGTGAGAAAGATTCAAGAAGTTACCTTCGTAAAAGAGGTCTTATTTATTACCAATTTCCCCGAGCGGGACTCATCTTTGAGTACTGTTAGTGTGCTTTGTGTTGGCCCTATTCGTGTCAGGGCGGGCCATCATTCGTCCAGCGACAACGCAATACCGCAAGCTTTATGTCGAGCTCGGACAGCTACAGTCCCTCGGCCTCCAGTCATAAGGTCTTTAACGCCGATAGACTTCTCTTCACAATTAAACATCCCATTGACTTATATACACTAAATCACTAACTCTATGTCTTTGTACATAAACTTGTATTTTAATACTCGTATAAGCTAACGGAACTGCACAAGCAAATTTAAAACATGCAGTACGTATTTATCCATGGTGTAGGTACTATATTTTCTTATTAATCGACTTCTCAAAGTAGGTTCATGAAAAATTGACAAACATTGTACATTCCTTTAGAGGATCATTATAATTTCCTTACATAAAGGTAAGGGTTTAAGCGAAAAATGTTTATTAAACAAAAACATTAAAAAAATTTAAAAATAGGTTACATTCATTGAGGTAGCAGCATAACGTGTTTGTTTACCTTTAAAACCAAAACAAAATTTATAAATCACTAGCTATACGTACAAATAAAAAAGATAGACGTTTAGACTATGAAAACAATGTATAAAACAAGATCTTAATACTTTCAATTGAAGGTGAAAATATTGCTAAACCAAACTGGTCTGATAAAGACCGGAAGATGTCGCCGCGGTCGAAATTGGTTATGAGGACAACTTGAGATTGATACACGATTATTGCTCTTCGATTGCACCTAACTAACAATTCGAAAAAATTAAGAAATGTATGTCAAATAAAATAAAAAAGGATCAGAGATCCTAGGGGTTATAGATAAGCGTAAGTTTTAAATGTAATGTCTGAAAGTGCGCGAATACGAATGCACCGTGGTACTAAGGTGGAAGTTATGCGCAAATGCCAATCAACAGTTAGAGACGGCGCCTGCGCAGCTTGTGATGCGCCACCCGTAACTGGGACGAACAAATCGGGTATTAATTATCCGCACAAAGTTAATCAAACTTAGTGTAACCAAGTTGAAGAGATTGCCATTACGACCACATAATATCTTACTAACACATTAATTACAATTTTAAAAGAATGTTGATTATATCCAAAACAGAACTACAGTACTATTTTTTTTTCATATAAAATTGTTTAAAGACGATTAAAATCTTCAGTAATATCTGAAAGCATTATTACGTCTTTTCCCTATATGTATGTATTTGTACAATAAATCATTCTATACAACATTTCATAAAACGATTACTTACACACACTTCATAAACGTTCAAGTTCAGTTCCTCTGTAATATAAAGTGAAAGTTATTTAAAAATCTCATACGAAAAATACAAGATTGTATTAAGCCGTCTTTGATATTATGAAGTCAAATTCGTAAACATAACAAATTTGAAAAGATTAAGTTAGGTAACAGAAGACGTAGGTGGCTGAGACTTGGACATTTTATTAGCATCGATGACGCGAGGCATCGACCTCCAGTATGATAATGCTCTCTCAATACAGATTCGAAGAATAACTTTCGGTTTAGCGGAATAACCAACAAGCCCGTATGCAGGAAAAATAATTTTTGCTTGCTTCGGTTATTGACGAGATATTGATGTTTGACTTAATAGAAATATATTTATTTTGATATGTCAGAATATATTTTTGTCTCAGATATTTTTGTAAGAAATATCACTGCTTTAGTTTTCTTAGTGTTAAGTATAATGTAAATTTCTGCGTTAGGGTATCTTTTTCATGAAACCGAATACCTAAACGTTCTGTAAATGAAAAAAAAAATTAAAGGTCGGAGCAAATCGGAACCAATTGCCAATGATTCATGCACAAAAATATTTAACATTGTTTCGTCCAATGTCGGTCACTGGCATTATTTTACCTAACCAATTTCCTTTATAACATCCGTAAATATACAAAATAATCGTATACACAATAATAAATGTGTAACCGGAAGTCTCATAAATAAATTAATATGCAACACACAAAGGACGAAGTCGCGAAATCCGGGCGAATGGATGAAGTCTCATTAAAATAACGCCAATACCCACATTTGAATATGCCGAATCGAACATGATAAGGATGAGGTCTTATTTACCCCGTGAAAGGTCTTTTGTGAGTGATTAATGCCATTATGTATATAATGGTACAAGGTACATATCACTCAATGGTACAAGGAAAATCATTTAATCTTTGGGGTATTTTTTTTTCATTAAACATTTTATAGGCTGTTATTACGGCGAAGGAAAAAATTGGTGAGGAAATCTTCAAATTTCTGCGAACAATTCTAATAGGCTTATTCACCCTACATTAAGGCCATTCTTGGGTTCCTCGGTGGAGACACGTATGTTATGACGAATGAAATAAAATATCCCGATCAGAATCAGACACATTACATTTATTATGATTTAAAAGTAGCTTTCGCCCGCGACTCCGTCCGCGTGGAATTAAAAAGAAACAAAAGTAAGTAGCCTAAGTGTTCTTCCAAACTATCCTCTACATCAATGCCAAATTTCATCGAAATCCTTTCAGCCGTTTAGGCTACAAACACTAACAAACATTCATCCATCCAAACGTTTCGCATTTATAATATTAGTATGATATTTAGTAAATATCTTTTTTGTTAATTCTTTATCGATCAGGATTGGAATTTAGTACATGCAATCTTGATACTCTGTCGAATACGGTGTCTGTACAATGACATGAACTAAAACCGTATTTCAATTAACTTTTAAGGACGGTCAGTCGGTTAAAAAAATTCGAAGAATGAATGCGCCAATCTCTAAATAAGCAGGTCAAAATTAGCTTAAATTTTATACGAACATAAAAAGATTTTTTTATCCGATTGAAAAAACCCTGCGCTTATGTTGACCTCCATCATTTCTTAGTTTGCTTTATTTGAATCACTTTATCACTGCGGCCATTCTATACGAGGTTAGTTTTAAAAACTAGGAGATTTTCGTTCACCGTGTGGCATTACAATTGATACTTAAAATAAAATAAACAACGCTGCATTATAAAAGTGAGATGAAACAAAAAATAAATTAATGTTAATACAATACAACTTCAATGGTACACATTTAATTATTTTTGACCTACATACAAAAGATAGTGTATTTTTTTTACGTATTACGTAGTTTTGCAATTTGAAAGAACGCTATTGAAAAACAGCCACAAAAGCCACTTTTCCTGAATAGGAAATCCAAAGTGCGGTTTTAATAGCCCCCCTTCATACATCCTTGTATGAAGTTACATGCAGGGCTTTAAGCTTGAGGGTGCCTCAATGACTTTTACCCTTATTCTTCCGGTTTTTGAGGAAAATTATTTCCTTTTAAATTAAACAGACTAGAATAAACATACATATTTATATACCAACATAAAATAAACAATGTACTTGTAAAATGCAATTTTTAACAAACAGTTATACCGAAATAACATATTTTCAGATAATTTTTACATAGATGATTGCGGTTGGAAACATAGTTTTTTATTAAACTCTTAGTTATCACAGATATACATGTATAAAAAAACTAATCTCGGAACATCAATTATCTCAATTAAAACGAGACATGAGATCGTCAGATTAACTCATCTGGTATGTTTTAAAAATGGACCTATTTTTTAATTACAGCAACGTTAAGTTATCAGGCACGTAGCCCGGCACGTGGCATTGGCTACTTAGTCTTTGTTAGTGAAGGAAAAATCCTAATCCCACAGTTAATTTCTACCTATATGTGGCAAGACATCACGTTGCACGCCATGATCTTTGCTTTATTTAACATACGTTCTGTTCTAAGTGAACAGTGCTTAAAATTATAAATATTTATTAGGGCACATATTTACATACATATTTCTCATTCCATATCTTTATAATTTATAGAATGACTAGCTGTTCCCGTGCGAATTCATCCGTATTAAATTATAACATTTTTATTATATAGTTTACGTGTGTCAAATTATCAATTGCAAATGTCAAAATTGACATGATGACAAACCATAGCAACCTTGCTTCCTTGATGTTGGCAGCAACTTATGGTCTCTTTCCCACATTAGGGTTTATATCCAAAATATTTACCTCCTAAATTTAATAACGTGAAAATATTTAGCCTAAAGCGTGACGTAAGTGTAGGGCTTTTTATTAAAAAATTATTATTCAAAAATATGCTGTTGACATCTTAGGCAACAAAGAAGTGTGTGTTTACGCTTTATTATAATAGTATAGATAAATATGTACCGTGATAAATGTGGATACTAAAATTCAATTACGGATAAATACATAAATAGAACAGTGATGTGCCTAAAAATTAAGCTTATGCTTTTATGTAGATCGCAACAGATCACAACTGATAAATTCCGATTCACAACACTATATTAAGGAATCCGCTATTACTTTAAAAAAACTAGACCGTAATTATTAAAAATTATATATTCTTACGTATTTACAGTCACGAATACTCCAAAC